AAACGACAACGCGGGACGCTTCCCTGTCCATATCTCATATGGTGTCGTTTCAGCCGACTTCGTTGGACTCCTATTCAGCAGGTACGCAGCGGTCTCTAAAGCATAGCCCCAAAACGACTTTGGAAGATCTGTCTGACTCATCCTCGACCGAACCATGTCTAATAGTGTTCGGTTCCTCCGTTCAGACACGCCGTTCCACTGTGGCGTTCCAGGAGGAGTTAATTGTGATACAATACCACAATCAACCAGATAGTCAGTGAACGCTTGGCTCATATACTCGCCACCACGATCCGATCGAAGTGTCTTGATCGTCTTGCCAAGCTCGTTCTGTACTTCGTTTCTAAAAGCCTTGAACATTTCAAGTGTCTCAGACTTATGTCTCATCAAATAGACATAACTGTATCGACTGAAATCATCAGTGAACGTAACGAAATACAGATAACCTCCTCTAGCTGGACAGCTCATTGGTCCGCATACATCACTATGTATAAGAGCCAATAACTCTGTCGCTCTCTGTCCTTTCCCCTTGAAAGGATGCTTCGTCATCTTGCCCATTAAACAAGACTCGCACGATTCAAGAGACTCAAAGTCAAATGAATCCAGAAGACCTTCATGATGAAGCTTCTGTATGCGTTTCTCATTTATATGGCCTAGACGACAATGCCAAAGGAAGGTCGGGTTTAAGTCGTTCGGCTTAAACCGTTTAGTACTCACGTTATAGATGGACGATGTCGAGTTCTGATACACGCCTTCACTCGGAGAGGATGGAACAAGGCCGAATCGCAGTCTCACGCGCTTCACGGAGAAGGCTCTCGACTTTCGATTGGGTATGGTGTTCGAAGGGGAAGAGTAGTCCTCGGAATCAGTCACTGATCAAGCGATGCTCGACGTAATTCCGAAAAGGAGGATGGATGGAACGAAGGGGAAGAATAGATAGTGGACCTTGGACACACCAAGGCTTGAGTTCGGACACACCAAATTCGTGATCTCGGACACACCGAAGATCGGGATAAATTTCGGACAAACCGAAGAAGAGTTTATAAAACTCGAAATGTTTGAGACATTCTACAAGTCTCATTACAAATGATGCATTACAAGGCCTTTATATAGGTTAGAATTCTCAACTACAATACTAAATGACAAGAACATGCAAGAGGGGTAGGAGTCCAATGCATTAAATGAGGTGGTTAATCGAGACTTTGTCCCGGATTCGAGGGAGTACAAGAACAAAGTCCATCAAAACATCACTCCAAGGTGATAAAGGAATGGGAAGAGGAAGATACAAAACCGTGTGGGTGAGTCTTAGATTTGGCTTGATGGCATGTAATGCATCTAGCAACAAATTTTCGACATCCCGTTTCGGATGCGGCCAAAAGAAGTGCTCCTTGACGATGGCAAGCATCTTCTCGCCAAAATGTCCCATGAGAGCTCTACTATGCGCTTCATGTAGAATAAACTCCCGCATTGAGCATTTTAGAATGCATAACCTCCTTTCCCGAAAGAGATAATGCATCTGCAGCAGCATTTAATGAGGTTGTTGGCAGATTTAGAGATGAAGTAAAGTGGCTCTTTCTTGGTGTGCAAGTGTCCAACGTCCATATTGTGATTTAATGCCCTTATCCTTGTAATCCAAACAATCTCATGGTACTCGTGCATATGCAACTTCATATGCAACAACCTTCACGTAGAGTCGTCCAAAACCTCGTCTATTTCAACATTCCCCCTCAAGATTGGTTGTGGATAAACCACAAGACCAATCTTGGAAAGGAGTTTGTCAAGAACAAGGGAGTTTGTGGCTTTAGTGAATATGTCTGCGAGCTGATCAGAACTCCTGGTGTACATCGGGGAGATAATTCCTTGATCAATCTTCTCACGAATGAAGTGACAGTCGACTTCAATGTGCTTTGTCCTCTCGTGAAATACAGGATTTGCAGCTATGTGTATGGCAGCTTGATTGTCGCAATGCAGTGGTATCGGTTGAAATATTTCGATCCAGAGATCACGCAGTAGTGAATTTATCCACATTAATTCACAAGTAATGTTTGCCATGGCTCTGTATTCAGCTTCAACGCTTGAGCTTGCTACAACTGTTTGCTTCTTGCTTTTCCATATCACGAGATTGCCCCCAACAAACGTGCAGTAGCCCGAGGTTGATTTTCGATCGAACTTGTCACCTGCCCAATCTGCATCACAATATCCAACTATCTCTGTGTGCATGTTGCGTTCCATCCATAATCCTTTACCCGGTGACCCTTTCAGATATTTGAGAATCCGATCAACCATCTTCCAATGTTGTGTTGTAGGAGCATGCATCCATTGACTTACCTGATGCACAGCAAAACATAGATTAGGTCTTGTAATAGCAAGATAGATAAGTTTACCCACAACGCTACGATATTGATCAATATCTTTGTGACATTCCCCCTCGCGTTGATCCTTGTAATTTTCTTGAAGGGGAGTTCGAGCAGGTTTTGCTAGAAGTTTTCCTGTCTCACTAAGCAAATCAAGAATATACTTTCGTTGAGATAAAAATAATCTGTTTTTTGAACGAGAAATTTCAATGCCAAGAAAGTATTTGAGTTCGCCTAGATCCTTGATATCAAAAGCCTTTTTCAAAAAGGTTTTAGTATCTTGAATATCCTTTTTGTCACTTCCACCGATAATTATATCGTCAACATAGATAAGAAGAACGATTATACCAAGATCTCCTTGAAGAGTAAAGAGAGAGTGATCAATCTCACTCCTAGTGAATCCATGTGTGATAAGTGCATTGTGTAGTTTGTGATACCATGCACGCGGAGATTGCTTCAGTCCGTAGATTGCTTTCCTTAACTTGCAAACCTTCCCATTTTCTTGGTCTTCAAGATATCTCGGAGGTGGCTGCATATATATTTCTTCTGCAAGTTCACCTTGAAGAAAGGCGTTTTTTACATCTATCTGCCACAAATCCCAATCAAGATTAGTTGCAAGAGAAAGGATAATACGAATTGAAGGTAACTTAGCAACAGGAGTAAATGTTTCAGTATAATCTTCTCCATAGGTTTGTGTAAACCCCTTTGCGACGAGTCTAGCTTTGTATCTCTCAATATCACCATTGCTGCGATATTTTATTTTGAAGACCCATTTGCAGCCTACATCCTTTTTATTTTCTGGAAGAAATACAACATACCATGTGTCATTTCTTTCAAGTGCATCGATTTCATCCTTCATTGCATTTATCCACATGTGGTGCTCCTTAGCTTCTTCAAAAGAACATGGCTCCTTCCCCTGATCAATTTTACTCAAGAAAACCTGCTCATTAGATGAAAAGTTAGAGATAGAATAAACTTCTTGAATAGGATGAGCCACAACATTTCCATTGAAATAAAACCGCTTTTTGGACCATTCCGAGATCGGAGCTTTTGGTCTTGAGCTTCTTCGAAGAATTGGATTTTCATGAGTTCTTAGCCTTGTGCTTCTTCGAAGTAATTGAGTTTCGTGGGGGTTAGCAGACTCGATAGGCATATTACCGTTTTAATG